TCTCTCTCTCTCTCTCTCCCTCCATTGCTCCCTGGCTCCCTCCCTCCCTCACTCCCCAAGCGGCTTGGCGGCGTCGCCGTCCAGACAGACTTTGCAATCCGGGTGGTGCCAGTGGGTGTTGTGAAAGTGCGGTGAGTAGATCCAGGCAAGATCGACCCAGCCTTGTGAATGGCACACATTCTGCGCTCCAAGCACCACGTCGCGGGCAAAGGTGCGTTCATCGAAGGCATTGAGCTCTTCGACTGCACCGCCTTCCGGATTTCGAGGGCAGAAGCTTCCGGCTTGGCACTTAGTCACCAGAGCCACTGGAGGCGCTAGAAGGAAAGCTGGATTAGCCAGTTGTTGGTTTACCGGGAATGCTGTAGCTTGTGTAAACGGATCCAGACGAGGCATGGACCCCGGCCATCGTCTCACCTTGGAGACAGGGTACGAGGCTGCTCGAGTCGTTTGAGGATGTTGTAAGTTCTAATGCAAAGCCATATCAATCTTCGGATTCTTGCCTGCCGATGCTGGCTGGCGAGTGAGCTCTGCGTTAAAGCATTCTCCAAGTTCAGGCGCTCGTGAAGGACGGTTACCGAGCCAACACTCTGATGAACAGTCGGGGCGGCGTGTGCTCCATGGGCATGCGCATTGAACTTCGCCCAAGAGCCCAGTGCTGCACTGGTTTGCAAGGTACGTCGCGAATCCTCCGCCAGTGGAGTGGGCAATGACACCCAAGGACATCGCTGCCGGCGGGGTGTGTGGCCGTGGCCTGAGGTTGTATGCCGGCGAACACAGTTGACAACTACGGAGCCCCGAATGCCATGTGCTCCCATTTTTTTTTTGGAGCGGACGGTATCATCACATGCTGCTTCCTCAGGTGGTGGTGGCAGCATCGCCTGTGGCCGCTTCTCCTTCGTACATGGCCTCAAGGCTCCTCTAGTTCTCCAGTGCCAATGCCAGCGAGCACATGGTAGTCTGTGGAAACAGTAGTTGCTCCGAACCTTTTCTCTGCACAGGGCCCATGCATCAGCGTCGATGTTGAGGGAGCCTCCTCACTGGTTGTCGTGAACTATGCTTGGTGCTGCTCGCCGGTTCTGCTGCTGTCATTGTGATAAGGGAGCATGGTCTGCGTGTGCAGGAATCGCTCTTTCAAACACGCCAGTTGAGACACTTGACAACTTGAAAAATGGATAACGCTACGCGTGTTCAAGCGGCATGTGCCACTTGACCACTTGACGAAGTGGCTAACGCTACGTCTTCGCAGTGTGGGGGCCACTTGTACCACTTGCCAAAGTTCAGGGTTTAGGGTTGGGGTTTAGGGCTTTAGGGCTTTAGGGCTTTAGGGTTTAGGGAGGGCCTTAGGGTTCAGGTGTTAGGGTGTTAGGCTAATTTCTGGCCATTTCGCTAAACGCCACTTTTCGATGGACATTCGCAGGGTTCAGGATTTAGGGTTTAGGATCCAGTGAATTTGGGGTTAGGGATCGGGGTTCAGGGTTTAAGGTTCAGGGTGTAGTGCGAGAGGCGCTGGAAAAGGGAAGGAAACACCGAAGGGGTTGCACTGTGAGAGGGAAGGGAGGCGTGTGCGGGGAGGCAGAAACACGGCGGGAAGGACCAAGTGGCACAAGGCTTTAAAACGCAGTCTCAGAATTTGGACCGGTTCAGGTGGACCAAGTGGTCAAGTGGTAGATTTCGCTTAGCGGTTCCCGTGTCCCAGTGCACAGTAATAGCAGTCATACTTCGTATCGGCACATCCTGGTAGCATGCTGTGAGTCGCTTGCCTTCATGTTTTTTGTGCTTGGCCACTTTGTGAGCAACCTGCCAGTGCCAACTTGTCCTGGACGGGCGGCTGGGAGCCCATCCCCTTCGCGCTCTGCAACAGCTGGAACCTCCAGCTGAACCCTGCGTGCTGCTCTGAGATGCACTGAGCGTCTTCTTGCAGGGTCCACACGTTGCGTGAGCACGGTCCGAACACGCAGTGGGAAAGTGGGAAGCAGCAAGTCGGAATATCTTGAGCCACAAACCAAACAGGGCTAGAGTCGGATAACAGCCCGACTCGACAAATTCAACGTCTGCAGTTCTTCGCTCCTTCAGGGTGCCCCTTGGTGTCCATGGCATGTCTGCATAAACAGCAGCGCACGAATGAATGCATGAGAAAAATGAATCATGGACAACCACATCTGAGCCCATAGCTGAGGCAAGGTAGATGAAGCTTCAATGAGCAAAAAATAAATGCGCAGACAGCATCACCATCTGTGAATGTATGTATGTATGTATGTATGCATGTACGTATGTATGTACGTAACAAAGTGGCGGGTCGGATAAACCTAGTCGTCAAACGACAAAGATACGGTTAACAATCCAGTCCTTGCCGAACCTTGAAATAGTAGCCCGAAAATTCTAGACGTCAAACCACAACAATAAAGTTGACAGTAAGGCTGATGTCCGTCGCTCAAACGGGCTCAAAGCATGGACTTTGCTCGTTTGGTAGGGTTTCTGGTTCAGGGTTCCTCATTAAACTGGTGGGGATTGGGCTGTCCCGCCCATTGCTCTGGATCTTTGACTCTGCTGATCCTGGTTTTCGGGTCAGGTGCATCCTGTGGATTTCTGCTGGCCTTGGTCTTCTTCAGAGGGGTTCTCTTCTCACCTGTTGCTCAGGCTGCTTTTGTCCCAGAAACTCCCCTCCGAGCTTCTCCCTCCCGGCCTGCTTCCCTTCGTCTTCGGGGCTACTTGCATGAGCAGGAGGTCCCTCACTGATACTATCCGTTCTGCTGTGGCTGCTCTTCGCAGCGCCCTCTCTGAACTTGAGGATTCTGGCCCTGAGTGGGAGTTGGTTGATAGCCCTAGGGCTGCTAGGGGTGACTCGTCTGCTGCAAGCTGGGCAGATCTTTCTGCTGCTCCTCCGGCCCGTGAGCCTACTGTGGAATTTTCTGCTTCTGTGTCTGAGGCCTCAGCCCCTCAGCCAGTCTTTCCTAGGTCTCCTCGACCTGGTGACACTCTGCCTAGTGAAGCTTTGTTCCTTGTCTCTTCGCTCAGGCGAGAAGACCGGGCCTTCAGGGCCAACCGCGCTTGGCAGGCAGGCTTGCAAGCCGGGGCGGTGCTTCGTGGGGAGCAGAGGTACCCTGACGCTACCCCTCCTCTTGCTGTGCGCAGCCGGGTGTACATCTGTCTCCGCCTTCGGGGTGACCGGACTGTCAGATTCTTTACTTCCTTCGGCCGGTTTAAGCTTTACGTGGGTTCCCTGGAGCATTCGGACACAGTGTGTCGCGGGTTCCCCACTGAGGGGGAGAGCAGGGTTTACGCTCGGGCCGCCGGGGCCCGTTTCCCAGATAGTTCAGAATGGAACTAGTCAGCGAGTTTCTTGCTGCTCCGTCCGATGCCGGCTGCCTCGTGATGGAATTGCCCACCTTCTCTCCGAAGCCTATGGTGTTTGTGCCCGTATTGCGGCGGGCGGGAGGCATACTTGCTGCGGTCCCTGTTGGTGCCGTAGACGAGGCTCTTCTGGAGGCCGGCCAAGGCGGAGGCCCAGAACTGCTTATAGGTCCCTCTTGTCAGATATCAGCTGGCCTGGCAGAGGAGGACGAAGAAGGAGCTTTGCGAGCGACAGGCGAGTCTACAGTGGTGCTGGTTGTAGACTTTGCAGAAGATGTGGTGCAGCATCTTTCTCCGTACGATCCGGTTACCTCCCCCATCGAGGTTCAGCCTTTTCTCAGCGGCTCGCCCCACCTCATGCTCGTTCACTTCGCTCTGGTTGCTGCTGCCAAGGAGTGGCTCGTCACCCTGACTGGAGAGCGAATGGCATTTTATTCGGCCGCCGAAGAGCCCGAACAGGATGCTGTCAATCCGCCGGAGCCAGGACCAAAGAAAAAGCCTGCGGCCAAACCCAAGAGGCCCACGACCTCTCAGTTGGCGGAGCAGATGGAGACGATGTTAGCAGGTTCAAGAAATCAGCTCCAGGCAGAGGGCGCTCGAGGGCAGGTCGCTGGCCGCCTCATCGACGGATCCCCCTGCTCAAGAAAACCCTCCTGCGCATCGTGCCCCGTTCCCCATAGGCCCGAGCCCGCAGCCCCCGAACCCTATGGTTGCTCTAAGAGGTTTAGTGGGGAGCCCGCCGAAAGTCCGAGCTCCTCTGCTGCATCCTCCGGCCCCTCTTTCAGCCGAGCCTCTTCCTGTGCCAGACGAGATCACCATAGACCCTGCCACGGGCGCCCCACTCCTGCCAAAGGCGCCGACCTCTTTCGAAGATGCACTGCTCAAACAAAGCCAGGCCTTAGGGACCTTGGTGTCCCATTTGGTCTCCCAGGCCGACTCAGGAGAATCTTCGTTGGGGCCCACTTCTGGTGCGCTGTTAGGAACTCGAGGGGCCACGAAACGAGAGAAGCTTCAGGAACAGCTGGCCTCGAGATCGGGGAACTTCTTGCTCCAGGTCAGCCAGCAGGCCTTGAGACGCTTGGCTCCTTCGGAGCCTGCTCCGGTGGCGATGGAGGACTTAGCTGCCAGGAGGCCCTTGTTCACGGCTTATGCAGAGCGCTTCGGAGGGTACGGCCACCAGAGGTCCCTAGGAATAGTGTTCTGGCTGCTTGCCAACATAGCCGACACTTTGGTCGCTGGAGATGTTGCCGGGGCAGAGGAGCTAGTGGCTCTCAGCTTGATTGCAGTGGAGCAAGCAGCCCAAGACAACGGGTCCTGGGATATCGGTTACCTGTTGTGTCTGTTGGAGGATCCTCCCCACCAGTTGTTTCAGCACAGACCCCAGAGCCAGAACCCGAGGCTGCGTGCCTTTGGGGGTCTGACCCCCCAAGCCTGGGCCACCACGACGCTGAGCTACGTGCGGGAAATAGACTTGATTCAGACCAGACGAGCCGAGACAGTTGGGGCCCCCAAGGCCAAGGCGGCTGCATCCGAGACCGACACGCCTGCCAGCGCGAAGCCTCGCCGACCCCGCTTTCCAAAGAAATCCAAGGATTCGTCTCATGCCTGAGGGTCGCTGGCCCAAGCTCTTGTTGGCCGGTTGTTGCTGCCACACAGGGTGGCATGATCGGTCTGCCTCCTGCCTTGCTTCCTCCTACCAACGGTCGTTTCCCTAGGCCCAGCCGTTTGTGGTTTAGTGGGGTTTCTAGTTGTAAGCCGACGCTGCTTTCCGGAGAAACCCAGAGATTCGTTTTCTTCCTGAGGGTCGCTGGCCCATGCTCGCACAAGCCCGTCTTGTCTGTCTCTTCGGGCAGTGCCGTCTCTCGCCCAAGGGTCGCTGGCCCCTGCAACCACAAGCCTTTCAGGTTGACTTCTCCCAGCTGTGCCGTCTCTTGCCCGAGGGTTGCTGGCCCGTGCAACCGCAAGCCTTCCAGGTCGACTTCTCCTAGCCGTGACTTTTCTCGCCCGAGGGTCGCTGGCCCGTGCAACCACAAGCCTTTCAGGTCGACTTCTCCTAGCCGTGCTGCCTCTTGCCTGAGGGTCGCTGGCCCGTGCAACCGCAAGCCTTCCAGGTCGACTTCTCTCAGCCGTGCTGTGGCCTCACAGTTTGCTTCGTCATGTGAGTCCCTAGTGCAGCCTGGATTTCGCCGCTTGTGGTTGAGGAGGTCTAGGGCTAGGGGTTCACCGTGCTCTTCCGGTTCTCCAAGGCGTGACTCCTGTGTGGGGGTCTCCGGCCCGTGCCCACCCGAATCTAGGAACGTAAGCAACCTGCGCCCACGTACTTTGCCAGTTTCTGCAACGGCTGTTCCCGACCGTGTCCCACGAGGCCCTAGGAACCACAGCTCCCGCCGTTTGTGGTTTAGCGGTTCTTGTAGTTTTAAGCCGGCCCTGCTTTCCGGAACCCAGAGATTCGTCTTTAGGCCGTCCGGAGGGTCCTTTGATTCAGCACAGGAGTCTTCTTCGAAGCTTAGTTCCTGCTATAATTTGCGTCGGGTTTGCGCTGTGGAGCCTTCTTCGGCCGCGTGCTCCACTGAACCAGCCCACCTGCATGATACTGCCGGCACCTTTGGAGCCAGGCCGGCCTCGTCTCCGTTGCCAGACCCTCCGAAACTGTTGGGTTTCCGGGCCTATGGTCTTAGCCTCGCTGCGAGGATCGTGGGTACCAGGGGCACTTTTGGAGCTTTTCTTGCATCTACTCTGCAGCTCTCTCAGGACCTGCCGCCAGGTCCTGCTCAGGAGCAACCCCCTGGTCTGGACTTCAGGGAGCCCCCTCTCTCTTCCGGTGCCCGCTCAGGTACCCCTTTGTGCTTCGAGCTGATTGCTTCCGTCTTCTCCCGAGGCCTTTCCAGTCTGATGTCCCGGCGAGAGGCCCGCGACACCGAGGTCTATGGGCTAGAGTCTGCTTTAGTCAACGATCTTGCCCAAACTCTGCGGTGGAGCACTGAATCGGCTTGGACTTGGGACAGGCCGAAGCACATCAACTGTCTCGAGACGGGTGCCTTCAGGCGCCTTTGCTTCAAAAAGGCTCATGGTTCGATTCCTTCCAGGTTCGTCTCTTTGATTGATTCCAACGTTGCCCGTTGTGCCATCTCAAAGGGTCGTTCCCCTTCTGGCGCCTTGACTCAGGAGCTTAGGCAGGTGGGCGCAGTTTGTGTGGCTTTTGGACTCTTCGGCGCGCTGCCCTTTTGTCCTACGCGCCTCATGCCGGCCGATGGGCCCTCCAGAGGCACCTCCACGCCTGAGCCTCCCCCCGGCACACCGTTGCATCTTGCAGCTCCGCTCCGAGCGCTTGCCTCCCTTCCACACACCCGCAGATGGACTTCGAATTGGATTCGTTTGGTCCTGCTTGTGTGCTGGTGGCAGCCTCCCCTACCTAGTGATCGCTACGCTGCGTTGCCTGCTCTTCTCTTCCGGCCTCCTCACATGGATTTTGATGCCTCTCTTGGATTTCCCGGCGAAGGCCCTCCCCTGCCAGTTTCTTTCAGGGTTGGGTTTTCCTTGTGGGGTGGTTTCCTGGTCTGGGGTTCTCTAGGTGGCCCTTGCAGCCATGGATCCTTGCCTCCCAGGAACACCGGAGATCTGAACAGGCAAGCTTTCAGAAGCCAGAGGCCACTTCCAGAGGGAAGGCCCGTCGAGAGAGCAACGCAGAGTCTGAGAGACACCCTCTGGGCTGCTCTGCTGGGGTGGCTGAGAACCGAAGGTGTCACCGAACAAGCTTTCGCTCAGAGCTGCTCGGACGACGTGGACCTGGTCAATGCCCTCTTGGCAAGGTATGGACGGGCCCTTTACGAAAGCGGCCGCCCTTATAACCACTATGCTGAAACTGTCAACGCTGCTGCAGGAAAATTTCCCAAGATTCGCCGGCTATTACAGCCGGCGTGGGATGTTGCATTCCAGTGGCAGAAGCTGGAGCCTCACATTCATCATCAGGCCATGCCTTGGCAAGTGCTGCTGGCACTTGTCACAGCAGCCCTCCTTTGGGGATGGGTTGATGTGGCAGGTGTTCTGGCTCTGGCCTGGGGTGGCTTGGCCCGAATTGGAGAAATATTCGCGGCTTTTAGATGCGATCTGGTTTTACCCAGCGACATTCAGTATACAGTGGACTACATCTTGCTGGCAGTGAGAGAACCAAAGACACGGAACACAGCGGCGAGACACCAGGCTCTTCGTTTGGATCAGCCTCAGCTGATGAGGGTTGTCGAGCTTGCCTTCAAGTCGAGACATCGGTGCCAGAAGCTTTGGCAATATGCCCCTGGAACTTTTCGCTCCCGTTTTTCAAAACTGGTAGAAGCTTTTGAGAACATGAAACCTCTGGATTTGGGCTCCATGAGAGCAGGAGGAGCAACCTGGTTGCTCCATGCCACCGAAAACGGTGAGTTTGTTCGACGCAGAGGTCGATGGCTCAATGCCCGGATCATGGAGATTTACATCCAGGAAGTATCATCAGTTCTTTTCCTTTCGAAGCTTCAAGACCATGTGGCTGACAAGATTTTGGCGGTGATGCGTCTTTTTCCAAGCATGCTGGAGCAAGCCGAAACATATGTTCGATATGGTTTTCCGCCTTCGTCATGGTTTTCTTTAGCTGCCGTTGGAAGGGCTTTTGGCCCGGGTTGAATGGGTCAGATGGGTGGAGGCAGTGGCATTGTGCAAGCACACTGTAACCTTTTGTGGAGGAGCAGAGTGAAAAGTGTGCGACTGTAGTTTGGCAGCAAGGGCTGAAGCCTTGACAGTAAGGCTGATGTCCGTCGCTCAAACGGGCTCAAAGCATCCCGCCACGCCCGCCCGCCATCCAACGGCAGTGGCATTGTGCAAGCACACTGTAACCTTTTGTGGAGGAGCAGAGTGAAAAGTGTGCGACTGTAGTTTGGCAGCAAGGGCTGAAGCCTTAACAAATCCATTCCTTGTCAAGGTCGTCAAACCACACGAATACGGTTAACAAAACCATTCCTTGGCAAGGTCCGACAGAACGATAGCCAGATATACGATTTTTTGAGTGTAGCCTGCACAGCGACTGGTACAAAATGATTTCGTGATACCAAGAACGGTAAGCAGCACATGCGAATTTTAGGGCTTAGTTTGTACGTCGACTTTATAATCACAAAGATTGTGTCATACCACTGACGGGTGCATGCAAATCGTTTAGGTGTGATATAAGATAAAACGACAACATGAAGTCGTGTAAGGGTGAATGAAGTCCAACTGTAAATGGAACCCGTTGAGAGCTTTTTGTTTTTGAACGTTATGGGATTCTAAGGGTGGGTGGGTGTTATGTCTAAGCCGTGAGTGAAATTTTACTATAGTATTGCTCGTTCCGGAGCTGCTGAAGCCAAGCCCTTTACCCTAAAACCTGAATCCTGAACCCTGAAACCCTAAACCTTGAACCCTAAACCCTAAATAAACCCAGCCATTTTGGCTCAAGCAGTGAGGGGCAATCTGCGCTCCGGCAGCAGTGCGCCCCAAGCAGCATATGAAGTTGTTCGCCGCGAAAGCAAACGAGCACGCGTTGGGTAGAAACCTCCGGCAGACTATCCACGCAGTCGCAGGGGTTGCTTCTAAGCCCGCGGCTTCGTTGGTGGCGTGGTCGCAAGACAACCCGGACGCAGCAGACTCGGACATGCCAACACGGCAGCAGATCAGCCGAAGGAAGTCGCTGCAGCTGGTTCGCCAGAGCGAAAGCAGCATCGAGGAGGTGAAGGCCCTGGTAGAACATCTGAAGAAGCGGCAAGTCACCAAGGAGTGGGAGTTTGAAATCTTGGCAGAGGACTTGACACAGGGCCTACTATGCTTTTCCTCGAAGTTCTATATGGACCTTTTCGAGCAGCAGAAGAATGCCATCACACAGCACGGCTTACGGCTAGCATGTGACGCCACCCACGAAATTTCCAATTCAAAGGTTAAACGCTTCGCTCTGGGTTGGCTGGCCCAATATGTTGATGGTGATGTGATCCGCAACACCTTTGTCCCCTTGGCCTTCGCCGTGGCACCATCGGAAACCAGTACAGCGACGTTGCTCTGGCTGGAAGCCGTAGATGGCTTTGTACGTGCCAAATGTGACGTTACATTGAAGCAAGCCAAGGTAGCCCAATTGGATGGAGGTACCGGCTTGGTGAAGGAATTCCAGGACTACTTCGGGCCATCTTTGCTGTTGGTGAGGAGTCTGGAACATGTGAAGCGGAATATTAAAAAAGAAGGTGTCAAGAAGCTTCAAAAAGCAAGCTGGTGGACCGCCGTCCAACGCTGGGTGGCATTCAGTGCCTTTATCCGCAATGATACCACCTTTCATTGTTTTTGGCACCATTCACTGGCCCTACTTCGGCGACATGGCGAAGATGCATTCGCCAGCTATATGGCCAAGGACATCCTGACGCAGTTGGAGGGCCGATGGACTGCTGCCTGGAGAGCAGCTCCTCTAGAGCCGGGCTATGGGCCATATGCCCTGAATGCCGTCGATTCCTTTTTCAAGGTTTTAGATCAGTATGTGCCAGATGAGAGCAAGTTCAGCCTCACGGCCTTATTGCCACGTTACGAGCATTGTGGGCGCATTTTCCGACAGGAGCGCAAATGGTTGGATTTATGCCTGGCCGTCTCCAGCCTGTGCACGGACGCCATCGTTGGCAAGATGCCATGTCCCGCTCCCAGCGGGCTATAGCGACCTGGTCAGATTTAGGGAATTCCACGTTTCACCCAAACAATGACGACCAAGTGGACCCTAGGATCCTCCAATTTGTGGAGGGTCGTCAGTTTGACCTTATTCAGTCTTTGGCTACACTTCCAAAGGAAGCTGAGCCTTGCTTGCGCCATCTCCAACAACTGCCCGACTGTTGATGCAAACAAAGTGTGCGTGTTCGAAGTGGAATGGAAAGCCACGACATTTTGTGGCATTTGGCGCAGCAAGAAATGTTGTCCGACTTCAACGCTTTTGCAGGCGATTCGAGCACTGTGCTGATTTTCGCCCCAACGGATAAAACCGCTTTGCCCATTCTGAATTCCCTGGCCACACGACCTCGCTGTGAAAAGTTCCGGCTTCAGTACAGGCAATTCTTCCACGGTACGCCGCTGCTGCCAGAGTATTCATTGTCGACTACGCACCGGTTGGCTTTCTAGCTCGTGTTATTAAGCTGTTTCACCTTTTGGCTGGTTCAGTTTGCAGAGATCTATTGAAATTGCCTGAAATGTCGCACTTCGTCGATGCTGCGGCTGAGGTGCAACACTCTTGCGAAGCATTGGCCATCAAACTTTGCAGCGGAGCCAGACATGCAGGGCGCTGCTTGCACGCGCCTGCTGCCAAAAACGAGCACATTTCTTGCTCATCCCAAAGACACCGAGGTGAAAAGTCTCCAGTCGGAGCTCATTCCATGGGTCCATGACCAAATCGACCAAATTTACAAAGCAGTCACAGGATCGCTGAGAAGTATTCCAAGGGGGAGTCAGGACACATTGGCTCAAGCCAATGTGCTTCGTCGCTGAAGCGCCGACATTCACACTCTCCGATTCACCTGCACAGGACTGTAATGTCCGTGTCCTGGAAATAGCCCGTCGTTGGGCTGGACTGCCTGGGAACATCATCGACAACACTGAAATTCGCGCTGAGCTTCGTCGGGGTGCCTACCAAGACTCGCAGCCGATTCTCTTGACGGTGACAGAGAATTTACATCCGCGTGTGCGTTACATTGGACGCTGGATGTCAAAGGAAGACGGTCAGGTGCAAGCTCCAGCCCAGAAGCAAGGCTTTCTGCACATTTCGGTGACACAGCATACAACAGGAGAGGGGAAGACAAAGGTGGTACAGATGTTGCATGCGCGGGCTGAACTTGTGCTTGGCTGCGACATGTTGACGTCACCGCGCATGCAGCACAGCACGGCGGAATCCACAGCAGCACGTTTGCTGCAACTGCAACGTGACTCAGTTTCAGCGAGGGAGATGCTGGTAGCCAGCAAAGCTATTGGCAGGCAGTCTGACAGCTGGCACGGCGGAAGAAAGACGCAATTGGCTCAACAGAGCTAGCAGGGGGCTTCCATGCCGAATGCGAACGTGCACGCAAGCGTGGTCCCACTTGATGAGCCATACGAAGCGCCATACCCGCCGTGGGCACCAACCGAAGCTGAGGCTGAAGTGTGGCGAGACACTTATGATGCCTGTCGGCAACGTCTTGTGCTCAGCTACGAAAGTCTGGTGCTTCTCGTGAATGACAGCAGGATCAGAAGCGCAATGTCACCTGGGCACTTGCTTGCGCTGACAGCATGCCTTGAACTGCCAGAGTGGCCAAGGAATCGGCAGGTGGAGGTCGCATTCAAGAAAGCACTGAGGGAGGAAACGGGCCAGGGACTATTTCACCTTTTTGCTTGCAAGAGTTTTCCCGACCGCCTACTGCAGCCTGATGAGATTGCGCCAATGTTGCCTGATGACCAAGTGCTGATCATTACACAGCAACTCTATGCTGCTATTGCAGCAACCTTAAATGACATGGTCGGGCCAAGAGTATTCTTTTGTCCCTGGTCAGATGCGTTGCAGCCACTGTTTGGCACACTTGTAGCTCTACTGCTGGACTACTGATACTGTAGGCAAATTGGACCCAGCATCTTTGTGACGGCCCATATGTAATATAAACCTGAATCTCCTTCGTCGAATAATGCCGGTTCGTTCGCCGAATAATGCGAGCTGGTTCGTCGAATAATGCCAAATGCCCCCGTTCTTAATGGCCTTCGTCTAATAAAGCCAATTTTTCGTCGAATAATGCCAACTGCTTCGTCGCATAATGCCAAAACCAGGTTTGGCATTATTTGACGAACCATTTCGCATTATTCGACGAAGGCATCAAGAACGGGGGTCATTATGACCCCATTCTTAGTGGCCTTCGTCGAATATTGCCGGTTTGGTCTTTGACCTTCGTCGAATAATGCAAAGCGGTTCGCCGAATAATGCCAATCTCTTCGTGGAGCCTCTTGGTTGGCATTATTCGACGAACCATTTCGCATTATTCGACGAAGGCCATCAAGGATGCCCGTTCCTATTGACCTTCGTCGAATAATGCGAAACAATCTTGCCAACTGGTTCGTCGAATAATGCGAATAATGGGGTTCAGGGCTTCGGGAAACCTCCAAAAACATTTTAAAAGCATGCCGAAAGCATAAAATATTCAAAATCCTTTGAAACTCTCAGAAGAGTTAGTACAGTCTTTACTAGGAGAGCTATTAACGAGGACAGTGAACGGCAGGAGCGGCTTAGCGATTTTAAGGTTTAGTCCGTAACAACGGCAAAGGAGGCCTGCCAATTTCAGGATTTAGCATGTAGAGGTAGTACAGTGTTTGGTAGAAGAGCTATTATCAAAGGCAGCCAACGGCAAAGGAGGCCTGTCGATTTTAGAGTTTAGCGTCTAGAGTTAGTACAGTGTTTAGTAGAAGCTCTATTAACAAGAACAGCCCACGGCAAAAAAGGTCTGTCGATTTTAGGGTTCAGCGTCTAGAGTTAGTACAGTGTTTAGTCGAAGAGCTATTAACAAGGGCAGCACATTCTCGACCAGACGGGCGGTTGTCTCCCCGTCTCGGATTTCGCACTGGTGCCAATTTAGGTGAGACATGGCCATTCAACGATGGCGGTTAAAGTCAATTCAATCTCTGGTTGAAAACGTGCCATTTGCCAGGATTGCTAATAGATTCTAGACGCCGATAGCCCTCGACCTGGCATGCTGGCGGTTGGCGGCGGATGATGTCACGTCATTGAACTAGAGATTTCAAGTTTTGTCGGTCGTAGGCCATCAGACTGCTCAAGACATGGCCACTAAACGATAGCGTCTTAAAGTCATAACAATCATTGGATGAGATGCTATTATAGTCTCTACTAACAACACACCACACAGTAGCAAACACAGCTGACTTTTAGGGTTTAGCTGATCTGATCAATTGGCGGTGGGCGCGCGAAGGCGGCACGGAACCAAAGTGTCTGTTGCTGCCTGCCTTGTGGTGTTGATGTTCTTATCAGTCCGAGTGACCTAGAGGTTTGATACTGTCGCCCACGCGATACCCATAAAACGAAGAAGGCGTGGATAGTTTCTGTCATATTGAGTAACACCCGACGGTAGCGAGCATAGGTGTAAGCCGCTAGTGTTGAAGATGATGATGTGCTATGTGAACGTACGTCGTTGATATAAAAGCGGAACTTTTTATTTTCCAATGTTATGGGATTCTAAGGGTGGGTGGGTGTTATGTCTAAGCCGTGAATGTAACGTTTCTGTAAAATTGCTCGATCCGGAGCTGCTGAACCCTGAAACCTTAAACCCTAAATAAACCCTAAACCGGGAGGACCACCACGTCTGAAGGAGGAAAAACTATGCAACTGGCAAAGTGAGACCGGACAAGACCAAGTCGCAAGACCAGGCCCAGAGCAGGCAAGATCTTGTCCGAGGTGGCGTAGGTCAGTCCGAGCTGAAACAAGCCACCCAAGCATGCTCAGCCCAAGGACTACCAACCTCAACCTTTGTTTCCGCTAGTCCGCTGACTACTCTTCTCCCTAATCCTTTACTCAAGTCGGATCCATGCCAGATGTATTGGGGGCTTCGGGATGCGCTGCATCCTCCTCTTCGATGTCGATCTCCTCGGCTGGGAGTGTCCGAGCCTGTCCGTGCACAGAAAAGACACAGCCCTCCTTGGCTGCATCCGGAGCGAGTCCAAATGGTGTAAGCGCAGTCGTTTTGGCTTCCAGCTTCCCGGTCAGACTGCCAGCAAGGCCAGGATCCACGGTTGGCGGACTGTAGCACTTGTTGTCCCAAAGCTGGCATATACTGCATGGTTTGGGCCAACAGTCTGGCCGCCGTGTCCGGCAAAGCCAAAGACCCATCGTTGCCGCATATCCCGTGGGCCCCGCCCTGCGAGCAGCTAAGAGGGCATCCCGCATACAGCCAGTTTCCATCTCGATGTCCTCGCCAATCATCGAATCCCAAACTGCCTCCGACTCTACTGCTTGGCAGCAAACCCATGCTCCACTAAGGCCTGGATCATCTGAGAAGCTTCTTGCCCCTCCTTCGTAGCCGCCGCTATCCGCTATCGACTCGTCGATGCGGACCAAGTCTTCCTCGTATTGCCTCCTTTGCTTGAAAAACTTCTCTTTGTCCTCGCAGGCCCACTTCTCCCACGTTTTCCTCCCCAAGCTTGCGAACCTTGGTCTCTGCACGTCGGGCTGCAGACAAGCTCTTCTGCATTTCGCTCATCAGGTCGCCCTTGGAAGAGGAACGGTCGGGAGCTGCCGCCTGGGCCATCGCCGTGGTACTGGTCGAAACCATCACCGAATCGTAACGATCTCCCTTTTGCCGTGGCGACCAAGCCCCACGCCACAACTGCCAGGGAGGCGTAGATTCCCACTCTTTTTCCCATCCCATGTGGCCTTGTTCGCGACCTTGACGTTTCCATGGCTGTCTCTTTCCTCCCATGTAGCCCCGGAGAAAAGATAGCTCCTTGTAGGCTGGTGTCGAATGGTGCCGGTGGAGGCGCAGCAAGGAGGCCCGTGGCGGAAAAGATCCAGCCGCTCTGGCCCAGTGTGTGTGAGCCCGGTCGAGGGCACGCTTCCAACGCAAGCGTCGTTGCCAGGCGGGAGATGAACGTGCTATTGCTCAGGTTCTAATAGCACTGGGGCTTTAACTATACCCTGCATAGTGG